CGACGCGTTGACGCGGCGGCGAAGGAACTTGGACACTCTGTTGGTTCACCGAGATATAGTGATCTTTTTTTAGTTCTTAACGCGCGTCAAACTCTTCCAAGACGAAGAAATTTACTTTAGTTAGTGTTCTTTTTTTTAATGATCTCTCTCTGAAACATGTATGATGATGATGATTTATTATTACTATTATTATTATTATTACTACTATTATTACTATGATAACTATTAACGCTACGCAATCTGTGCCCTGTATTTTTGTACATTTTCGTCTGCAGATAAGAACTCTCCCCTCCCTTTCCTTTGCCGCCACACTTCGAACACAATCCCCTCTGCGCGTTTCAATAGAACTTTCATCCCTTCCTCGTTTACTCTTCTCCCCGTTGGTAGGCACAGTTTGTTTTGTTTTCTACATCGCATACTATGCACGAGAAGTGATCCGATTATGATTATTGCTATTATTATTATTATTAATTATGATTATCGATTACATTTATTAAATTTAGGGTTGTCCATAATTTGTCGGGTATACATTGATTGTCGCGGGAATGTTTTCCGTACATTCCCCTCCGTTTTATCATCCATAACGAGCTGCGTCATTCGCTGTGTTACGTTTCGTGTGAATTACGCGTAGTCTTTGAGCGAGCCGAGCTAATATGAAGATGAACGACAAACAGACGAATCGAGAGTTATGTATAAAATAATTGTTAATAGTCAATTACAGAAGGGCGCGATGTATCGCGCGTTCTCCATTTTATCTTTCTCTCTTCATTTCTCTTTTCGCGCGATTAATGATCATCGGATTGTAAGATACCGTGTGTGGTCAGTGGAGTGAAATTATGGGCAACCAGAAGAGGCGTGAAAAAAAAAGTGAAAAAGATGAAAACACAATAATCGTTTAGTACCGTACTGGCTTCCTGATCCTCCGACCTTTAGCTTTACAGAGAACCGAGTTTTAAATGCGAAATAACTTGTACCGTTTACATCAATTAATGATGACAATTAATGCCATACATGTTCTGTGATAAGACCATTGTAATTACTGCAACTGTATCGATCCATTTCTAGAGAAGAAATCCCCGAATCCCCTCCCCCACATCCAAAACCCTTCTGACAGCCGACGATCCTGGCAGCCAGTGAATTTACTTGTGTGTGTGTGTGTGCGTGTATATATATATATATATGTATGTGTGTGTATACAGGATGTTAAAAAAAGTATTCCAAATTTATAGGGCAGATTAATTATACTGAGTAAAAAGTGTCTGTTAAATATGTGAGTCGTGAAAAGTCAACCCTTTCAGAATTATAAGCATTTTTTTTTTATTTTAGTAATACAAGTTATTTGTGTGCTTTTATTAATCGCACGCGGTCAATAAACGAACGCATATCTTATACCATATTATTATTGTGATGTTTACAAGAATTATTATTCGTGTCTCCCTTCCGAAAGATGAATTGGATGAGGTGCATCGGTTGCATGGTCTTCTCAATCTCCTGACATATATCGATTGGATTCAATTTTATGGAGATACATGAAAAGCTTAATTTATTCTTCATCCACAAATAATGTACATGAATATGGATCGACGTATTCGAGATGCAGGTGATCAAATTCGAAGAGCAAAAATTTTTGAAAAAGTTTGGAATTCTGTAATTGGAAGATGCCAGGCGTATGTAGAAATGGAAGGAGGTTACTTATTGTAAACAATGCAATAATAAAATGATATAGTAAGATACTCGTTCGCGTTTATTGACCGCGCATGATCAATGGAAACATACAACTTTGATAACTTGCGTTAATGAAAATTTTGAAAAATATTGGTAACGAAAAGATGAAAGATAAACAAAATCGAAAACTTACTTTTTATACTTTTTACTCAGTATAATGAATACTATCTATCCTGTAAGTTTGGGATACTTTTATTTAACACCTTGTATATATATATATATATACATACACACACACACACAAAGCACAACAGAGACAGTATAAGCGGCAGTCGTTATCCGGACAGTCCCAAACCTAGCGTCGTCACACACATACACATACACATACCCACACACATACACACATATTCTCTCTCTGTCTCGAAATTTTAAGATTTTTTTTATATATATATATACATGTACATATCTGCTGTATTTTATAAGAAAACCGAAGCCGTACTTTTACAGAACCGTAACAATAACGACGATCAGTGTGTAATTTATTTCAATTTTACAGACTGCGCTAAACTCTCATGTTCCTCGACGACACTACCGATGCTTTAACTAAATGTAACGCGTAACGCCGATAAATAACAGATTAGAAAATGGAGGTATACATATACATACGTACACATACACACTACATGTACACACACACATACATACACACACGTATATACGCGCGCGCATACACATTCGTTTGTATGAATCGAGCGAAATGCGATTTGCGTCGAGATCGAAGTTCGCGCCGGGTCGATTTGAATCAAACCGACTCGGGGGACACGGAGATCTAGTTAGGAAGTTTTTCACTGTTTTTCTACGCGCCCATTCTTCTTTTCTCTCAGTTTTAATTGTAGTACAACGACAGGGGCTTAAATAATGAAACGAGAACGAAGCGAAAGAAAGAGACACGCGACAAAAAAAAATAACAAGGAAAAAGAAAATAAAAAGTTGTCTAAGGAATAAATATTGGCTATTGCACATTCGCAATATATTTTAACAGACCCGCCCGCGACCATTCTCCGATTCTTACCAAATCCTTGGGACTGTGTCGGCGGTTTCTCTCGTGGAAACGTCTCACGTGTGAACGTCTAGTTATCTTTTTCCAAAAGAAAACGAACGAGAAGGGGAAGAAAACAAAGGACAAAAGACGAACGAAGCAAAAAAAAAACAAAGGAGAAATTCGCACAATCCAATTGCGAAGTAATTTGACTTTATCTCGAGCCGATTTTATCAGAATTCTGTAAAACGAATAGAGATCGAGAGCTAACATTAGGCGCAATTCTACGAACCAATTCGCAAACGAGGAAGAAAAATAAATAAATAAATATATATATATATATAAATATATATATACACACACATATTATATGAGCGTATGACTGGATAATTTGATAAACTATGAGTACAAGTAAGACAAGTGTTACCTCATCATGATGAAAACTCGGCGCGCGTCGACGACCACACCGATCCGCTACAAGCCGCTACCGCGCCGTTCTCTCGGATAAAAAAAAGAACACACACACACACATACACACACAAGCAAATAACACACACTTCCGTTGTACATTGCATTTAACAGGAGACCCGGGGAGAGTACTCTTTTGTAAACGTACGTCGCGCACGTGTTGTGCGTGCGTGCGTACGTGCGTGCGTGCGTGCGTGCGTGCGTGCGTGCGTGCGTGCGTGCGTGCGTGCGTGCGATCACGTGGTAGTGGCTGTCCGCGAAGAAGTGTTACACGCGCGCCGCTCATTAAAGCCCAGCTCATACAGACATTCATTTTTCCATTTTACTTTAAGTCTCTCATTGCACCACATCAAATAAATGACATTTTCATTATATAATCGTGGGATTTTCTTTCTCCGTCTTTCTCCGTGTACTCCACATCCGACCCCGCCGCTGATCCTGAGGATGGCCGTGTGCTGCGACGCGTCTTCCTTTTTCATTTCCCTTTTTTGTTTTTTCGTCCACGAGCCGTTGATGCGTTACGTGCGCGTCGGCTCGTAATTGAGGAGCTGGACGCAATGATGATAGCGCGAAGTCGTTGTCACACGCTATTATCGCAACTAACTTCCTGCCCGTTATCTCGAGAATCATATCTACGACCATTTCCGGCTTTCCACAAATCGTGGAAGTCTAAAAACTTGATCTACAAATGCGCTCTTTTTCTTGTTCTCTGTCTGACTCGAGACTTAAGCCAGGAGAAAATAAAAAAAAGAAATTGGAAGCAAAGAGCATTGTAGATTAAGCTTAAGAGCTGTCACTTGAAACTTAAGACGCTCAGACTTTTATTCAGAGTAAGATCCAAATTTTTCAGTTGAATTCAGTATGATATATGTGACATTATACTTGTAATCGCGACTCAACTGAAGAATTCTCATCCAACTCTGAATTCAGATCTGAGTCTCACTTGAGGGAAATTTCAAGTAACGACTACGGCTCATAAATATTCGAATAAATGACTATCCGAGTATCCGAAATCGGTTTTGATCTGACACGTAAAAACTAAAAAAAAAAATTATAACCGCACTATTCATGTACATATTTATATGCGAACAGAAGCGTCGAATCTGGATTCGAATCTATCTATATCTAAATCTATACCTATATCTATATCGATTTATTAATTATTAAATGTTTGAGGAAGATCTTTCTACGGACGTCAATTGACCGATTCCACCGAGAACTTAGATTCGGATTCGATGTTTTAACTGCTCGTACTTATATCTCGTGATATACGCAGACCCACAAATAACTCCAATTTGAAGTGTCATATTTATCTGCTAACCGAATAATCGGTTAGCATTAATTCAATATTGAAGCTCTAATAACGCCTATTGATACACGATAAAATCCACCCTCGTTTCTCTCGTTGTTTCTCCTTGAACTACTTGAATTCTCAATACTGAGCAAATTTTGTTTTTCGCGTTAAAGTCGTGTTTTCGCGTTATCGCGGGTGCGTCTGGCTCCTCAATTGCGGAATTCAAAGTTATCACGTCGTGTGCGTTTCATACTCGCGGCGCGACTCTGGAAAAATTCGAAAAGATCTTTTAATCATTTGTTTGCTTTTGTAATAAGAACGAATTGGAATTTTCCCACGTAAATATTCAAAATTCTCTCACCTTGACTCTGAATCACACGATTGTTATATATGAAGATAATAAAAAAAGATTATATATACACGTATAGCTTTCTTTATTAAATTAAATTTTTTTCAATTTTATTATGTTTTCTATTAGTAATATTAAATCTCTATTGTTAGTAGAGTTCACGCTACAAGAACATGTGACTCAAATTTTTTATAATAATACACTTTTATTATATTTTACATTATCATTTCTAGTACATTTCTAGTTGTAGTACTATTACTAATGCTATTCTAATTCCTTATTAAATTCTTTAATAGTATATTGTACACAGTTCTGGAAATATAAATAGCACATGTGAAACAGAAAGACAATAAATTAAGGCAGAATGTGTCGATATGTCCCTTATTTACAAAATTCCATACTAATTTTTACTATAAAATTCTCTCTCCGTATGCTAATTAGCGTCTCAGGATTTAATTATATCCTACCCAATTAGTAGCCTATATTATTAACACTTACTTAGTGTTAAACTGTACAATAAATTACAATACTTAAAATAAAGTGGATAATATTCAATTAATATCCTACTGTATCAGGCAGCGCGATTAGTCTCTTGAGTAGTCGAGTCAGAGTAGCAGTCTTTCCCGAAATGAATCGGCGTGAGTTTTATTGAGAACAATATATATACAGACAACGCACGAGAGTTGCTTTGTACGTGCATTTATTCAGAAGAATCGTTATATGTGTTGAACGACAGGAGGGGCAGGCACGGAAACGCATCGGCATGTTTCCTGAGCTTTTGGTGTATCCGGATACCTCGGCGGAGCATCTTGCATGGACACCTGGTGAGCAAGAGAGAAAGAAACGTTTCGTCATCGTTATAAAAATTTCTTAACTGACCTTAAAGATATAGGTTTATCTACCGTCGTAGTATCGCGGCAAGTACGTCATACTAGTGTGTGATGTGTATATATATATATATGTGTGAGATGGCACATCGTTATCGTAATCAGTAGATTGTGCCGCAAACTTGCCATCGAGCATCCAATCTGTGTATGTGTGTGTGTACATATGTAGGTGTGTGTATGTGTTCTCACGATACTACCATCGCTCACGATGTTACTTATTAATTTGCTTTACACGCACTTTATCACAGGGCACTATCTCCGTCTCGCTCGATTTCTTTTCTTTCGTAAAGCGTTAATTGCTGTGTTAGAATAAAATAAAAAGGTACCTCTAGGCGTATGTCTATATAAAATACGTCTTTGAGATATCTAAGAGATGTTTGAAACAAGTATTTTAGATATCTTTTAAGTCTATTAACATCCGTGACTTGGAACTTATCTCGCGTGATATATTCAGATTTGAGTTTAGAGCTAAGTACGAAGTATGAAGTACTTCTCAGTTGAATCACGATTACAAATATAATATCACGTACATCATACAATTTTACTGAAAAACTTTCAAATCTAACTCTATAAATTCAGACATGAATGTCTTACACGTATATTTATGTTATATAAATAATTTATATTTTTATATAAATCATTAATAATTAATAATTATAATTAAATTATATATTATAAATTAAATTATAAATTAAATAATAAATTATACATAATATGTCAACTCTTATGTATAGTATATATATGTGATATATTCAAGTCTGAACATACAGTCTGATTCGAATTTTAATCATATAACATTGCATTTATAATTGTGATTCCGTTAAAAATGCATATTTAACTCTAATCTCATATCTGAGTATTTGATTTGAGATAGATTAACTTTCTTAGGCCTGTCAATAAAGTTGTTAATAATTGTTATTTGAAACTTATCTTAAATGAGATACTCAGATTTGTGATTAGAGTTAGATGTGAACTATAATATATGATTAGAGTTAAATGTAAGCTATGTATGTGACATTTGCAATTACAATTGCAAATATATTATATATATCGTGTTCAACTGAAAAATTCAAACCTAATTCTAAATTTAGATCTGTATATTTTATGTAAGACAAGTTTCGAGTAACAATCATTAATATGAACTAAATTCAAATCTGGATATGTTGGAACTTTTCGGAATTAATTTCGATCGGAATTATTTTGTTATTCCCAAAATTTTTATTGTCTTTTCCAGAAGAAACGGTATTATTCCGATCGGATTTTCAAAAATTAATGTAACATGTGTCTTAAATATTTCACTTGAAACTTGTCTCACATCAGATAGACAGATTTAAAATGAGAATTAGATTAAAAATTTCCAAGTAAATCGTATGACATATGCGACATTACATTTTTAATTGTTATTCCATTGCCATTTTACATCTAACTCTAAATTCAAATCTGAAAATCCTGAATTCAGAATTAGATGAAAATTTATTAGTTGAATCGCAATTATGGCTAAAAACTGAAAAATTTGAATCTTACTTTGAGTAAAAATCTGACATGAGAGAAGCTTTAGATGTCAATTATTGATATAGGTCTTATAGTATTAATAATTGTCATCTGAAATTAGTTTCATGTGAGATATTCAGATTTTTATTCAGAGTTAGCTGCAAGTTTTTTAATCCATCTATGATACATTTGACATTTATAATTGCGATTTGATCGTAAAACTCTCATTTAACTCTGAATAAAAATCCAAGTATCTCATGAGATAAGTTTCAGATGCCAATTATTGATACAGACTTTATAGACCTGTATTAATAGTTGTCACCTGAAGCTAGTCTCATGTAAGATACTTAGATCTTTATTCCGAATTAGCTCGAGGTTTTTTTCATTTCAACAATGTGATGTTTATACCTATAATCGCGATTCAATTGTAAAACTTTCATTTAACTCTGAATAAAAATCCGAGTATCTCGCACGAGATAAGTTTCACATGTCAATTATTGATACAAACTTTATAGGCCTGTATCAATAGTTGTCACCTGAAGCCACCTAGAAGTCACCTAGTCTCATATAAGACACTTAGATCTTTATTCAGAGTTAGCTCGAAGTTTTTTTCAGTTCAACAATAATACATACAGCATTTATATCTATAATTGTGTGATTCAATTGTAAAGCTCTCACTTAGGTCTGAATTGAAATCTGAATATCTCACTTGAGACGAATGTCAAGTATGTTAATGACTATTAATACGAGCCATAGGCATTCATGCTGTCTCTGTGTGATACCGCAACGAGTAATCAACATACCCTGTTATAGGGTGATGTGTAGAGTGGAGGAGCGCCGCAGACTTCGCTGTACAATGGTGGTCTCTCCCGTAAATCTTCAACGGTGTTGCAGCGTGTAGTACCGTTCAGCTCTTGCTGTGCCCTACAGCGCGCTGGCTGCCTGGCCCTGTATATCACAAAAATCTTCGTAATATTCGGCCTGTTCCCTTTCGAAAAACTCCCTGAACTGGCGTGCAGTAAGTTAGAGCGAAACAAGTATATTTTGTTTCTCTCTAAAGATTGGTTTTCCATTGCACTACTACTTGCACTAATTCCCTTTCTCTATTTTTTTTATCAAGTCTCAACTGTATATCTGTTTCGTTTTAAGTGCCGCAAGCACTTAAAAAGACTGCACTAGACTGTTGAACTACACTAGTTCAATGATAGAAAACCGATCTTTCCTTACTGCTTCAGTATACATTGGCTCAGGAAGCTCTTCGAAAATGAGCAGGTTTCTTGTCCTCGCACGAAACATGTAACCCCAATCGATCGTTTGATCGGTCAGAGTTAACGCATGTGTGATTAGGAGGACGAGCTTTGGGGAATCAAGATAGCGCGAAGTAGTTTATACCGTTTATGATGACACGCGCGTTATCGAATTTAGGTCGGATTTATTCGCGGTTATTGAATCGACTTTGAGCGCAAGTGCGAACATATTCGCGGTGTAATTCGGTAATCTCTTAATTAACCTTTCCAGGGGGACACCGACACATACATGTGTACGTTAAGTGCATTCGATTCTTTATCTTTTCTATTCAAACATTATTAGATAAAGGTAGAAAAAACATTATCGCGAAGAAATACGTCCATCAAAAAATTTTACAACAAGAAAAGCCGTCAAATCTCGTCACACGATTGACGGTTGTCACACTGAAGTCACACTTTTAAGGCTAAATCAGTTTCTAATGGTTTCAATAAATTCACCTCTGAATAGGTTAAATAATTATGTTGTATATAATATAAATTCGATTATAAAATTAAGTGCGCGATTGCTTTTATTACAACGAGATAATTAGTTAATTTCTGGGGGAGAAGGAGGAGATAAATTAATACGGGTTACGCGTGTGCGCGCGCACGCGCCCGCGATTTCGTACCTATTACATAATTTGCAGTACATTAAGAATAAGCCAGTAATACCGAGCAAGAATAATATAGAAATACTCATATATGTCATTGATATCAGTTGCCACTCCGCGTGCCTGAAATAAATTTTCATTACTGTAGATCAGCTTCGATCCTCCGAAATAACCGGAGGTGACAGTAACTAACGTTCCGATCGCGAAGTCTGTACCTTGGCAGGAAAACCAGGATTGATTATAAGATAAGGCTCGCTTTTCGTTGCTTACAAGTGTCTTAGGTCCGTATCAATAGTCCTTGCTTGAAACTTGCCTCAGGTGAGACATTCAGACTTGGATTTCAATTCGGTTAGATGTGAATATTTGTGAATATGTGTGTCGGATTCAGTTAGATGTGAATATTTCGGCTGACTCGCGACTGGAAATGTAATGTTGCATTTGTTGTGTGATTCAAGGAAAAAAAACTCAACTCTAAATTCACATCTGAGTATCTCACGTGGGACAAGTTTCAGGTAATGATTGGACCTTAGAATACCTGCGATTGTTTCAACGAAAACACCAAACGCGACTCTCCGAGTTGAACGAGAGAAGGAGAGAGCGCGAATTCGAAGATCCTCTCGGTCCTTCCACGGTACAGAAACATCTATTCGGAAGATCTACACGGCCAAGAGAATGCTGTTGTGTCAATAGAGTTAATCAACGGCGCTACAATTGGAGCAAGGACCGATTTTTAGTAGTTTAAACTCTGTTCTGATAATCGTACGACGCGTTTGCCCACTCTGACAGACTTCAACGTGTGTAAGTTTGAAACTAAATCTGATTTTAAGAGTCCCGGACTAAGTTAAATCTATGCAATCAAATTTAAGTCTAAGTTAAATATTATTAAGTTTAAACTACTGTTAAAAAATCGGCCGTATTCTCGATTTAAGCGATACATCATCGAAACTGCAATATCGCTACAACAGCAATATCATTTACTCCAATTACGGCGTTGCCGACCAAATCTACCGATGCAACAGCGTTTTCTTTCCCGTGCAACAAAGAACGCGCAATAATGAAGCGTGCGTGAGTGACGCGATTTTTACCAGCAAAACGAACAGTCGTTGCAGAAACAGCAAACCTGATTATAGCAAACTATACATCCGGGTCCGTCTGCGGAAAGAATGAAATCCATGAAGAGAGATCAACAGAAATTAAGTTCCGATTGTTTATATATATGCATATATGTGTATGTATATATGTGAGAGAGACCCTCAATGAACCTACCAGGGTTTTCTGTGCAGCGCAAATTACTCTGTTTAGAGCTACATTGTGTGCAATTTTCAAATGTTTCTATATATTTCTTCGAGAAGGCGATGTGCGCATCAGACGGATCTGTTGAAACACATTGAGCGTTCGTATACTGAAATTAGACTGTGTCTTCTTACAAAGAGAGATTACTCTGTTGAAAAAATGATAATACAACTTTCGCGCGTCGTGCGCGTGTTTCAATAAAGAACTCTTACCCAGACAGCGCACACTTCTAAAAGATGCCTCAGTGACACGTCCAAGAGTGATTTTATGTTGCACAGATGAATTTTATACGTCTTTTCGGATGTCTCTGAGACGTCTTTTAGGGCGCCCCTGAGTGTGTCTGGTTATATCTCCAGACCGCTTTGAATCAATGTCAAAAAGAAGAGAAAGAAGAAAGAAGAAGATTGCGCTGAAAGTGACAGGAAACACCTTCTCTTAAGTCCACTATCTCCGCTGGCAATATTGTTACGCAGCATTGCGCCGTAAAACTCGTATTTATTCTTAGTGCGCGACTCTTCGGGCACACTCTGAAAACGAGCTGTTCAAGTGCGAGCACACTCACGTACCTAAACTCACGATCAGAGTTATCGCCGTGCAAAAGTACAAGTATCCCAAAAAGAACGGGCTCATGATGTCACGGCCGCGTATAGACGAGCGAGGAGAACACAGCCGTGCGGGTAAGAACGTTGATTACTCAAAACGCCACTCGCGCCAACATAATTCAACGCGCGATTTATCGACGCGACGATTCCGCGGCATCGACTCGTGCGGTTTCGCGCGAGCGATTATGCGCGGCATAATAGCGCCGCGCGAAAATATACTGTCGCAGAAGCGAACATATCGATACGGTACCAATGTCCACCTCCAAGTCGAGTCCCGACACTGTACTGCGTACGGGTTTTGATATTTACGGGCCGATACTACCAATCTTATCAATACATAGGTCAGATAATGCATGTAATCAGCAATATGAAGTATTTCCTTATATTGATAGTCATTATGACTTTTCATACTGGATTTTCGCAGATAACACAACGCGCGTACATTTTTGTGCGTTCAAATGTACGGGCATACGAAAGCGCGGCACTTGCACGCGCATACACTGAAAAAAACAGACTGGTAATTGTTGCTAAATGTATTTAGTTACGGAATTTTAGTAAAAACTCGGTAACTAACGCCAAATATGACAATAACCAAATACATAGTGGATTTTGTGTACAAAGGACTTTTAAGCGCAGCCAAGTGGACTAAAGATTTGAGCAATAATTACCAAATATTTAACATCTGTTGTCAAGTATTCGATGATTACTATCGGATATTTGGTATCATTCAGTTCTGTTTGACAAAACATTTGGTAACTGTTATTACCTTGTATTTACCTTATTAAGGTAACGAAATATTTGGTAACTATTAATTGTACTTATATTAATATATATCACCTATCGATATTCGTCGCATAAGGTAAATGTCCTAATGAGTTAGTAAGACAGCACGATTAGTTTTACATTTTTATTAATCAATAAAATAACTACCAAAACGTTTTGCCAGCAATTGAAAAATAATAGGAAATAAAATAATCAATAAATATCAATCATAATTTCAATAGGATATTAGAAAAATGCCGGTACTAGTAATTGAACTGAAAAATGAATCATGTTTTAATCACCGAATAATGCAGATTCATTGATTTAATGCTTATGAAGCGATAAAAACGTTAATGTAAAAAATATAAAGTTACATAAACAATTTTCTTCTTGGGAACAAGCTAGTAATACTAGCTAATAATAGCTAGTAGTAGTTAACGAGTATTTCATTTTCTACTGTCAAGATTTGATATTAAATTGCTAGAATCTGGTTTAATGACTTAAATGTATAATTAAAGTAACTAAATCTTAGTTCTGAAAGAACTGTATGTATGTGTGTGTGTGTGTGTGTGTGTATATATATATATATATATATATATATATATATATATATATATAGGGTAGATCAATATCACTATCGCCACCTTGAGTATTTTCGAAGTAAGAGAAACAAAGATGGTTTTCAGATTTTCGAAATTATTCTACTTAGAAAGAAAAGCTTCTTACGGTGATTCCGCTTTTTTCTTTTCCGGGATGAGTAGCTTCGAACATATTAGGGTTACATTTGTTTTTTTACTTCACAAAAATACTCAAGATGGCTATAGTTTTATTAACTCCTCCTGTATATAAACTTACATATATATGCATCTATTGTTCTAAATACATGTATACATTGCGCACGTGTATGTGTACAATATATAATATATGTAGCAGGTGAGAGGAAATAAAAGTACAGATATTATTTATATATACTGTAATACTTATTAATAAATATTATTAATAACCCAAAGTGTATCTTAACAACTCCCGAAAAATGTGTAATTTACAATGGAATTTGTGGAGTTGTGCACTTGTAAGAAATCACTTACAGTCCTGTACAATATCAATTAGTTAATGTAATTAATGCTTCTACGATATCGCCTCTGTGTTCCCTGAGAGTCTGTTCCGCCAAGTTTCGACTAATCTCCAACTCTTTCATCTGAAACAAGCGCGAGCTGCAATTCGTTGCTTTCTGATTTATACAGTAAGGTAAATGTCTCAATAATTGAACTAAGAAGACTAAGACTGAACCCGAGAGAGGTAGGTTTTATGTTATTAATAAGCAATTAATGGAACTACTAACAAAACTAACACACTTATATAAAACTTTGATCTGTCAGCAATCAAAAATATAGAAAATAAAATAATTAATAAATATCAATTATAATTTTAATGAGATAGTAGATAATGCCAGTTGTAACAGTAATTAAATTAAAAAATGAGTCATGTCCTAATTACCAAATAATATAGACTCAATGATTGAAGACTCATTAATTGTTTATATAACTCTAATTGTATATATAACTCTGCTTTAATGTCATCAAACTTGCTACATATAAATACTACATAGTTAATATCTTCAATTTTGTAACGGCGTCAACATCTCCACTTACTAATTCTTTACTAAATAAAGATTTATTAAAATTACAGTTATTCGTTCTCAATCTATTTACAAATATAACAAAATATTTGGAATAATTAATTTCATTGAACCATGCGGTTTAATTCTTCACTTATAATAAATATTTTCTCAAAGTAAATTTTACATCTTTATATTCTTCCATTTCTATTTTGTTATTAATTGTTTTTTCTTATTTTTTGAACTGATGTATACTGGTGCAATAAATTAGAGTGGAACAAAGTATCATCGTTCCATTTTAACTTATTGCACAATTCAGAAAGTTTTTTAAAAAAGAACAGATCTTATATTTGTGCAACATAACGACACTGTTGTTAAAAGTTACAGAATAAGCCCACAGAGCTTGTGGGCTATATAACACGTGGTGTACTCACGATCAAATCTACATCTTCCTTCTTGATGGACACTTTGAGCAGTTCCTTTTCTTTTGCCTTTTTCTCTGCGGCTTCTTTATTCCGACGGTCACCAATTATGCTCATCGCCTGTTTTAGACAGTATTTTTTATTCACACAGATAAAAACAGATGAATGTAAGACGAAAATGCACGATAAAATTGAGCGATTTAATGCAAAGAGGTTATATTGAGGTTATCCATTTTACGAAACGAACGGTTGAACTTTCGCGAGATCTGCCGCTTTCGTGTGATAATTGTGGGTATAGTTACTTGAAACAATGATTTGAGACACGCAGTTTACTTAGTTTCGTGCAGAAAAAACGCAAATGTGTAGCATCATCTAGAATCATGACACACGTGTATACACAAAGTACATACTTACGCATGAAAATCCATCGGAAGAGGAAATTTCCTTCTCCTCGGCATAATCTGTCACCTTCTCCAAATCTGCCGCGCCGCTGTCATATTTGGCTGCTTTTTTCTGCGATTTCTCTTGCTGCACATCATCGCAATCTCCATTTACATCGTCATCCGCCATTTTTAATTTTTCTCGCGGGATCTCCGGCATGTTGTGTCTCGTCAGTGCAGTAAATCGTCGTTTGTGCTGCACTTTCTATATTCTTATGTAATTTCATTAAAAGTCTGTTCTTTTTAGTTGAACTCATGCACAACTCATGCTCTGGGCTGCGTTCCAAAATCCTACGCGGCGAGTAGAGTAACATTCAATTAATCAATCATGATAAAGAAATCTTTATTAGAAATCTTTTTAGTTCTCTTTGTTCTGATTAGATGCTGCTCTATCCGTCGAGTAGAGATTTTGAACGCAGCCCTAATGTAACAAAATATATTTTAGGGGTGTATATTAGTTGGACACGGGGCAATTGGACACAGTCCAATCACAAGTCGCTGTTCCAAGGGACCCTAAAAATGTCTCTAATCACACGGTGCTGTGATTAGCTGTGTCCAAATGCACCGTGTCCAAGTACACCGCTCCCATATTTTAGCATGTTCGACTGGCTTTGGATTGGTTACACGACATTTTCCCGAAAACTAGATAGTGTCACGTCCGACCGACCAGGCTGCCAGCCAGTGATAATTTTTGTCCAAATAATCCTTTATCTGAGACACTCCGTGTCTTGCGCAAAATCCATCGCGATTATTCTTGATCGCACGGATCCCCGGGTAGAATCACGCGATTCGTTTAGCTCGAAAAATTGCGATCTGATCCCGTGCTAGGATTCGAGCGCTATTCTTCACAGCAGCGTGGCCGCAACCCGCCGGGACGTAACAATAGAAAAATGTTGGTATCAACAAAAACCCCTTAGTATCACAATTTTAATTTCTACGGATTAGTGACAGTTTGTTATTTGACACATACACACGCATATGTCAAAACGACTCCGCAAAATTCATGGACTTGCTACTTCAACAGTATCACTAATCCGCTGAAATTAAAATTGTTGTCTAGGGGTTTTTGTTGGTACCACCATTTTTCCATCTAATTTTCGGGAAATGTCGCGTAACCTCTGGATTATTTAGCCTACGTTTATTGGTCGAACAAGTACTTATAAGCTTTATGATTGGTTAGTAGAGACTTATGACGTCATTAATCGCTCTCGGAACGATTAACCCAAGGCCAGTCGAAATTAAATTTTTTTAAAGAATTTAAACGCGAAAATTAAATTGACTGTAAACACTGATTAATTGGAAATAAACTATTGGTTATTTTGAATAATCAATGAACGTCGTTTCGATCAGATCATCATTCCGATCCACTTGTTGAGATAAACTACGACCTCGCTTTTCCATGGAAGATGGTCGCGCCTCGTAGCGGAAACTTTGGAACTAGCGCGGAGCTAATCACAGGGTGCCATTGAAATAAGCGGGTGGCCGCTCTCATGCTTATCTCTGATGGACGTTTGGTTTATTTACAAAGATTGTTGGAGTCGGAACTGATTTTTTTTCACAATGGCTGGCGAAGTGATAGTCGATGCATTGCCATATATTGACCAAGGATATGATGAACCTGGAGTGCGAGAAGCGGTAAATTTATCTTTTCTTTATAATCTAATGATCCAATAATACTATTAGAGGTTAGTTTAGCTTAGGCTCTGCCTCAAATAAATTTGGATTTATGAACTGTTATAGTTGTGATTTATGTACACTTATTTTTCCCTTCTTCTCGTGAATTATATAAACGTCTTGAATTCCAGGCTCTGGCGATGGTGGAAGAGGAGACGCGTCGTTACAGGCCGACAAAAAATTACCTGGAGCACCTGACTCCTATGAGCATAACATTCGAGACGACGGTGCTGAAGCACGAGTTTGAGAGGATGCACGGGCGCCTGCCAATGGAGGTGCTCAGCATGAAGCGTTACGAGCTGCCACCGCCTCCATCTGGCAAGATGAATGATTTGGGTGCGTGGAACGAAAGTGTGGAGAACAGTAGTGCTCAGTTGGAGCATCAAGCTACCAGGTAGACTAGGATTCTGGTGATCATTTATTCTCTCTCATTGTAATTACATATTAAATATAACAATAATAATAGCTGATTGCAAATGTACTTTGCTCAGTACAATATTATTTAATACAATATAAAGTTATTGGCTCTCATTGTTCTTATTATATTCATTTTATTTATTATTGTATTTAATTACTTATTCTTTTGCTTTATGTGTACTTAGTGTTTACTTAATATTTATTTCGGTTTATTCTGTTATCTGATCAATTCACTGTTATTTTATTATATAAAATATACATCACAGGTACAAATTACAGGCACGAAATTATTATTTCTTATTCCTTATTATATTCCTTAGTCCTTATTATATTCATTTTATGTTTATTATTATAATTATATACTTAATATTTATATTTATTTACTTATTGTTTTACTTATATATTTAATGTTTAATTATTATACTTAACACTTTATTAATTTTTTCATTTTTATTTTATTATTTGTTATAATGTTAGTTTGTTCTATTATTTGATTAATTTGTCCTGACTGATATTTCATTTTATTGTTATTATGTATTATTTTATTAAGAAATTTGTACTTGCATGTACTTTATATTGTAAAATATCAGAAAATTTCATCTGCAATCGGCTTATATTGTTCTTATTATATTCATTTGTTTGATTTTAATCAATCTTACTACTCTAAATTTCTTGGGGAAATGAAATTTTATTTTTTCTCGAAATTCTATTCGAAAAGTAGAATTTTTCACTCGAAATTAAAAAATGTGATTATGAACTAATTCTACAATTATAAAAACAAATTCCTTCTAATCGATTAAAACATCTTATATGGAGTCAGAATCCACTTTAAAGCTTGAGTGAAACATTTAATTTTACGATTTCGAGTGGCAGTGTTTTAATTGCCGTTTCGAGTGAAAATAATGCCACTTTCCCGCTCGTTTTGAGAGAGATTCCACACCAAGAAATTTAGGGAATATCATTCGATTGAAGTTACGTATCATTCCTCACGATATTGAACAACTACAGAATCTGCAACCTGGAATTAATGATGGAGTACGGATGCGAAGCTTGGAAGTCTTATCTGAACGTGTTGGTGCAGCTGCTCGGTCAGGCGCAGAAGCAGCTGCAGATGCTGCGCAAGAAGATTCAGGAGGTGAACTGGCAGAGGAAGTCGATGCAGACCCAAGGCGGCGACAAACTGAGAGCCCTCGAGGCGCAGTGGGTTGGTTTAGTGTCGAAGAATTACGAAATCGAACAGGCGTGCGTGCACTTGGAGGAGGAGATACAGAAAGTGATGATGAACAAGGAGGCGGTCGAGATCAGCGACGTGCCGGCGGACGAAGGACCGGACATGCCCGGGAAAAGCGCCACGGAGACGATGGCGCTGCAGATGCAGCAGCAGGAGGAGCAGGAGCAGCGGGATCTTCTGTTGAATTTTTGAGGTATCACTGTTGGCGGCTGAGTGAGACAACGAATGAATGTACGCGATGCGCTTCGAGTATTTATAGAGGCATTACGAAGCCCGCGCGGGACCTCGGTAATAAAGCACAATTTATTTTATCGTGGTTTATACATGTATCACACTCGGATTTTCACGCTGACAATATACATATGTACAACGGCGATAAATCACTGACTTAATCGACAGCGCGATGCACTACTGATTAACAATTATTTATAATTTTTTTTTCACGACGGTGCTGAGATGAACGAAGGATCTGCTTTAACATAGTTTGCGTTTCTCGTGCATCGACACACATTTACACACGTATTTTGCGCGTAGGCCCAGCTGAAGTTTTTATTTATCCCGCGTTAGGACGTGTTAGCGGCGTTATTTAATACCACGATATAATTACAAAGCGAATAGCTAAGCGTTTAATCTCTCTTTCTTCTTTTCTTTCTGTCTTTCCTTCTCTTTCTCTCGCTCTCTTCTTCGGCCGACTATTCGTATGTAAAAAAATACGTGAGTTCGCGATCTCCGTTTTGCCTTTCTAATCGTCGTGGACTGAACGTGGGAGAGACGTCGAAAATGAGCGTCTGATTAGGCTTGCGTTGCGCGTTCAATACTCGGTTGCTTTATTCACTCGATTGTCATAACGACGTCTCGCTGGCACCAGAACTTTGAGACTGAAGCGCTATGCTTCCCTTGTAACCCATCGACTCCTCCTCCAGCAAAGTTATGCGTTGCTTCAACGTTTTTACCTGTAAGCCACGAAAAAAATTTTAGTTATTTATTTTTCATTCACAAAGGACATTTTTTTCGGCAATGCGGAAATTAAAAAAAATCTGAAACTTTGCATAATTATAGAGCAAATATATTTAATAACAAAATAATTTTTCGTTATGGCTCAGAAACGGTTTTAGGAGTGAAAACATCCTCTTGAAAAAAATAAATTTAATTAATTTAATTTAATTTTTTAAGTTTTACTTTTTTGTATTTGGAAAATTAATTTAAAAAATTTTTTAAATGTAGATTTTAGGGGATATTTCAAAAAATTTTAATTATTAAGTAGTATTAAATAATAATAATAATCTACTCTATAATTATGCAAAGTTTTAGATTTTTTAATTCTCGCGTTACCGAATGTTTTTTATTAGTTTGTTTACGGGAAATAATCCCTTTGGTATACCGAAGATATAAGGTGATTACATTGATTTACAAAAGTGAAAAAGTAAAAATAATACAACAACATTGATTGATACAGACATTCCTCAAGTAGCGTACGCTTAAAAATGGCGACAACTCTCGAATAACACGGAATCTTTTGGCCGTATTATTTCAAAGTCATTTGTACAGTAAATTAATAAAATTATGAAGTCTGTAGAAGTTATAAAGTTACTTTAAATTATAAAATGGAAAAAAAGAGAAAAAAGAAATTAAATAAGAAAGTACTAAAAATTCTAGCAATATTTCTGGTGTTTTTATTAAATTTCAAAATTCTATATTATGAATAGAGAATAATAGAATCGAGTTCTATTAGGAGTCCTAGCTCCTTACCGTGGAACTTTTAATTGATGACGTCAGAAGCGAGAAAATAACGCTGAAAATTCTTGCAAAATGCGTTGAAGTAAAATGATGTTTAAAAAATGATACTATAATCGATAGAGCAGACCTGTAAGATAATACTTCCCTCCTACTATCAATAAATAGTCGTAAAATTAACGTGACAAAATCATAAGAAAAAGTACGTTAAAGAGAAAAATTGCACGTTATATTAACATTAAAATAAAATAATAAGAGAAAAGAAAAAAAAGGAGTGTTTGGACTATTTTATAAGTCTGCTTGATCGATTGCATCATTTTATTGCTACATCTTTTTATTTAAACGTATTTTACAAGTTTTAGTATATTTTTTCGTTTCTGACATGATAAAATCAAGATAGCCGCGGCGAGGGACCAGAAGCTTCAAGGAAAATGAAATATAGTTTGTGGAAGAGTACGGGTATCACTTTTAGATCAGAAAGTTATTTTTAACTCGGAAGAATATGCGCGTTAAGAATAATTTAAATGTCTGTTCTTTTTATCTGAACTAGTGCACATTAATGCAATAAGTTAGAGTGAAACAAAATATATTAGTCTCACTCTAACTTATTGTACCAGTCTGCACTATTTCAGGCAGTTCATCAAAAAGAACAGACCTTAATGTTGCGGCTGCGCGTTAGGAAGAATCCGACATGGCGGCCGCGAAGTAGAGCCGGTAGTTGCGCGAGGTGCGAGTCATTCCGATGTTTAGCAGAACATTTCGACGATTCATCAGAAAGTGGCCAGGGGAGCGGTACTTGGGCGACTTTCGATTTCTGCCACTGTTTTTCGTGTTTGGGGCATTGCTGGAATTCTCTATGATCAATTGGCGCGTGGGCGAGGTTAACTTCTACAGAGTGTACAAACGTCGGAAGATAGAAGAGCTTGTGAACGAAAAATTACACAAGACCACATCATCGGTCGATTCTGAGGCCTGAAGCTGCCCTCTGTACTCTGTCTACATCGCGCAATGCCTGTCGGAGTATCTTGGCTACGCTACATCTCGTTCACCACGGCCGCGATGCTGTCGATGCTGGCCGGCTCGCAGTGCGTTCACATGATATACAAACCGCTCGACGACTTGGACGAACTCGTCGAGTTGAAGCTGAAGGAGAGAATGGATCAGCAGGGAGAGGCAAGAAGGAAAGAGGAAGAAGAGAAGAGAACGTAGAAGAGTGTAGAATCTTAAACTATGTGTAATATGTGAATATTATATGATTTCCAAAGATATAATAAATCACTCCGTTGCATCTTTGGTGTTTTTAACATGGACCACGTTCACACGACTTAGAGTCCTTGTGATAACATGCACAGTCTATGTTTACATAAACAACAAGACTAATTCATTCCAGATGTTGCAACTATGGTTGGAACACATGTGCATATTGTGATATTCTTTCTATGTTATGTATGTAGACAGTGTAAACTGTATATGAGATGCTATTTATGTAGGAAATGAGTAATTCATGGATACTGTTTAAAGAATATATAGCTTGCTCAGGGATCAATGAAGAAAAGTTTGTTTTTATTTGACTTTTAGAATCCTTCAATGTAAACTTGGACATTGTTCCCTAAACAAAGTTAAAGTTCACAGAGTTTTTTTGGTTATGTTTCTGATTATAACTGAATTGTTTATATATTGTCTATGTGGTCTTTTTTTTTATGTGAACAATGTAAAATATATAGGATATCGTCAATTGTATTGAAATATACAAAAAGAAAGCATTTCAATTATGAGAGTATTACTGCATTTGCTTTGGATATTAATTATAAATGTAATGTTTAAAAAAGATAAATTACATGAAATTTTCATAACAATATAACCATTCTGAATGGTTGAACTCTGAACTCAATTTGATGATAACAACATAATTCAGAATTTTGTGAACTCAAAATCATTTAGGGAACAATGTTCATAAATTTACATCAGGATTCCAAAGGTTAAATAGCAATATAAGCTTTTCTTCATTAATTTTTGACCAAACTATAATTCTTTAAACAACGTTCATAGATTACTCATTGTCTATATAAATTATTTATTGTTGCAATCTATAGTCTCTTTTTCAAGGAAACAATGTAAACTATATAGAACATTGTCAATAATATTAAAATGTATAAAAAAGTATTTAAATTATAAGACATACTTGTTTTGGATATAAATAATAAGTGTAATGTTTAAAAAAGATGAATTATACAAAATTATCATTTCATTATGTGACAAGTCAGTAGAAGATTACATCAGAATTCTGACAGCAAAAATATAACCAGAGAATTCTCTGTGAACTGAAAATTGTTTAGAAAACAATGTTCATAAATTTACATTAGGATTTGAGAAGTTAAATAAAAATGTAAATTTTCCTTCTCTCTCTCTCATTAATTTTTGGGTAAGCCATAATTCTTTAAACAACATTCATAAATTATTTATTGTCTATATAGATGACATCTTATACATAGTTTACATTGTCTACACGTAGACGTAGAGAGTATTATGATTTACGTGTAAGCGCCCAACTCTGATATAAACGTAGACTATGCTATCGGTACAGACGTTACTAAATCAGTTCTAGGCTGCCGTGTAAACGTAGTCACGGACGGATATACCGGGTGACCACAAAAATGCGAATACTTCACCTATACGCGGTCATACCTGCGCGGCATGCCTCTCCACCATCCCCAGCATCTGCTGTTCCAGCTTCTTAAGCCGAGACTGGTACTTCTTCTTGGATTTCTCAAGGGTTTGCACCAAGGCTCTGAGAACAGACGAGCGACTCTTATGTCCTTACTTATCAAGGATGCGTTTGCTAAACGAATAAAAAATTCACAGCGATGTATTCATATCCGCGCACGACGATTACCCGTTAGCTCTTTTCAAGTCGTTGACAAGCTCGGCGGATTGCTGATGCCGCAGTTCAGAATTCTTGTTAACCTCGTCCAAGGTTGAGATCAGTTCCTGTAAGCGCTCTTTCAGCCTCGCTTCCCTACCCAGAGCTTCGATCAGTTCAGACTCCATTCCTTCACTCTCGTTGTCGCTCAATCCTCGGTCCTGCACAGGTTCTCGATTAATTGACAGGAAAGGAAAATTCTAAGGACAGTATTCATAGTTTTCTTTAGCCACATGAAATTTCAAGGTAAGTTCAACATGATCTTAAATATAAGATTAGACTATAAGTTGTTTTTACATGGTCTGATCTTCTTATCTTAGAATTAAAATCTGATCTATTATTTTAAGATGCGGTCTATTTAACGTTGCAAGTGTATGTTCAAAGTGTTTCTTTATACATGGAGTTCAATAATGTAGCTAGAATTATTTGGATCCTATTCAAATTAGATTTAAGATGCTATGTAAACTAAGAAAACGGTTCTTACTCATTCAGCGGTCCTAATTCATCCTAAGATGAATTTAACACGACCTTAAGTATAAAATCAGACTACAGAGGATATTAATAATCTGAGCTTACATTTTTAAGATTATTTGAAGTTATTATTATGCTATATAACTCATAAAATAGCTCTTACAGCAATTTAAGATGAATTTAACACAATCTTAAATATAATATTTGGCTAAAGACGATATCCATAGTCTGGTGGTTTTATATTTAAGATTCTCTTAGTTCATTTTAACATGCTATGTAGCCCACCAAATATTCCTAAACGTTTTACCGCTTGAGAGACTATTACTAGACTTTCTGGTGACGATACCGGTAGTAGATAAAATGTTAAGATGAATTTAAGATAATCCTAAATATGAGATCACTTCATACTTGATACCTTGTTCGTGGCCATCGCGAGCATAGCTTCCGCGTCGCTAAGCTGGCCTTGAAGGTGCTGTATGGTGGCGTGCTGGGCTGCAATCTGCGTGTCACGCGCGTTCAACTTCAATTCTATCGTGGCGCGTTCCTTCTCCAGGAGGAACACTCTCGCGCGTAACTCGGCTTTATCCTCACGCATGGCCATCAGTTCCTAAAAGCATTATATTTCCACGATATAGAGAATCGTCATCTTTTTTCTTTCGAGCTTTCGTTCAGTTGGATGATATCTACCTGCATAAGCACGGCTGTTTCCAAATCGAGTTTTCTGGCCTCCGCCAGAGAGATGGTGTTCTTAGAGTTCAAAGGCTCCGCGTGCACGCTCTCCAGCTCGACCGCCGTTGACCTGACCATAGTACGCTCTCCTTTGAGCCTGCTAATGTGCCGTCTGAGTCGTTGCTCGTCCTCTACGCACCATGTTACCTCCGACCTGTCGAGGAAGTGATTATGTAATCAGGATTACGTATGTTGCGCATGAAATGCGAGATCTTCATCTGTTGAGGATTGTCTTGTAAAAGAAGAAAGAGATATAATCTAGAGTTCTTCTTCTTTGTTCTTTCTCTTTCCCGCAGAGGATACACCGTATCAGCAGACTTGAACAGAAACTCAATTCAACTCAATTCAGAACAAACTGAGCAGAAACTTATGTTCCGCCCGGAACAAATTGAGCAGAATTTTCTGTTCAGTTGAGAACAAACTGAGCTGAAACTTCTGTTCAGTTTGTTCGGCTTTAGCGTATCGTACTCAAATTCAGACACCCTGTATACTTGGAGTGTAAGACGCCATCACGTTCCGTGATACATACTCATCCGATAAGACCATGCTGTCCTCCCAGGGCGCGGCCAGTGTATTAGCGCAGTCGTTTTCGAGTCTATTCAGAACGTGATACGCAACGTTCTCGGCGGCCCTCCTGTTATCGATCGTCACGCTGTTTCTCTCGGTGGAGAGCGCGATCTCGCTTTCCAGCAGCGCGACCAGAACGTCGTAGGCCTCGATGGCGCGATCGCTGTAGGAGAGCGCGAGGCGTAGTGCCGTCGCGTTTGACTCGTACTTGCCCACCAGTAAACTCAACCTGCAAGCGCAACAAGCAAGCCGCCTTTGTAAAACGCAAGTCGTCCAAGAGTTCCACTTTCGCTACCACGTGTTACACACGTGCCGATTCTCACGAGGATCTCGACGTTCTCACGACGTCACATATGTGTGATAACGGTAATTAGCAATGATTTTTTATCTTGTACTTTCGCACAAGCAAATTAAATCTTACATCATATAAGTATCATACAAATTAAACGTAACATTATACAATTTAAGAGTACATTATACACTGAGTACTCGCGTAGGCTGTCCTTGTTTGATGACGTCGGGAACGAGAAATCGCATGCTCACGATTCTTGCGTTATACGTTGAAATAAAAAGATATGTACATTTAAAGACACTTGTGATCGATTCAGCAGATTTGTAAAATGCTCTGAACACTCTCTTTTTGCTATCACTAGATAGCCATCAAATTAACATAACAGAAATGATGAGAAAAGTTTGATTAAAACTTGAGTTGTATTGCAACCACAAGTGTCGTTCTATGGATATGTTTATTTCGACATATAACGCAAAAATCATAGGTATACGATTTTTCGCTTCTGACGTTATCAAATAAAGACAACCGACGCAAATACCCAGGGATCTTAATAATAATAATAATATTAATTTAGTGGTTACAATTGGTCTTTATTGGTCACAGGAAAATAAAGCTTTTCATTATTTCATAAAAAATACGGGGTGACTTAAAAGTCGGTTAGTGATTTGAAAAACTGACAATATTTTTTACAATAATATATACTTAAAATTCTTTTTGCAAATTGTTAATCATAAAACATTTGAAATGGCAGTGATTTTTCGGCCATCCTGTATATAGGCTGCGTTCATTCTGAATATTTTTATGCTGAAAGCATCACTCTATCTATCTTTGACGTGTAACAATAAAAATAGAATGGAACGCTATCAGCACAAAAGTATCCAAAGCAAACGCAGCCATAGGACAGATTTTTGAGACGGACAGTTTCCCAAATGAAGAGTGGAACATGTTAAAATTCAGGAAAGAACACGAAGAACGTACCGATCGCATTGCGCCTTGCTCTCGTGCAGGGTGAGAGCGAGGACCGCGTTGTTAGCTCGCGCGTGTTCCAGTCGACTGTTCAGGCGCTCCGTCTCGACCTCGAACTGCTTCTCAGAGCCGTTCAACTCCTGCAGGTTCGACTGCTCCAAGAGATCCGACACGAGGTGTTCGGCGACCATGGTGGAACACACCTGGAATACGTTTATTGAACGTTTATGGTCGCGCTGTTTCGTTGAGAGACTGAAGCGACGTTCTACAAAGCAGAAATCGCACCCCGAGGTTAGCGATGTCCGGTCCAGTGATGTGCCTCTCGTCGGTCCTCCTCAGTCTCACCCTCTCCGCCATTTTTAGGACCGGCGCTTCCTCCCTTGTCACGTTCTTCGTCGGTGGTGTCTGCAACGGCGGCAGGAGAGGCGAGCATGGCGCCGTCAGAGGTTCCGGTGAGCTGTTGTTGCCTCTTGTCTGCGACGAAGGAGATAAGAGATTTGCAAAACTCACGAGGCGAGGGTTCGTTGTATTCATAGACTTCCACATAATTTACCTAGACTGTTAACAATTGTAGGTAGCTAGACAGCACAAATTAGTAAAAGATATCTCAAAGAAGTCCAAAAGAGGTCTAAAAGAAATAGAACATCTTTTAGACGTCTCTAGTTATCTAGTTAGATCAGTATTTAGTTAGACATCTTTAGTTAATTATGCTATCTGGATGGATGATCGAGAAATTGATGGGAGATGCAAATGCTAATAGGTATGGCCAATAAATTTCGAAATATTGTGTTTATTTGCGTAAAATTCAATTTCCACGCTGAGAAAAAAGCGGTTTAATTTCCACTTGGGTTCATCTGGTTATTAAGTTATGGAAGAAAACGCTACCTGCAGTCTGACTCGGGGGCTCGTTCACCCCGAGTCAGACTCGGATTGTCGCGCAGGGTGGTTAAAAATGTACATAAATATACATGTAAAATTCGTATTTCTCGCCGAGAGTCGTCGCTCTTTCTACTCACTCTGATCTCTCGACGCGGCGAATCGCTGCCCGCCGTTTGCCTCTGACTGCCGGCGTGATTCTGACTCTTGAAATGAGCCAACTGCGCCTGCAAGCTCGCGATCTCCGCTCGTAGTGCCGTGATCTCCTCCTGCAGCGTCGCTACGGCGACGCTCTGGCATGAGGCAGCTTGCTGCGTCGGTTCCGGGGTAGGCAACGCGGCCGGACTGTCCTGTTCCCTGTCATTCTGACAACGTGACATATGAACATAAATCATTGGAGCGGCACAGACTACGTGCAGCGTATTAATTACTTAATCTGTACTAACGTCTGTTTATTAATTTTTATTGGATAATTGTGTTATATTAGTTGAATATATGAAATGGCTTATGACAGATAATCACACGTGGTATCTGTAAGCGTTTCATTGCCACGCCGATATCCACTATGATTGTTTCAATGCTCCATTCAAGCTTAAATCGCCGGATATGCGGCGGATGAATGCAATTCGCGAGGCATATACTCATTAGTTCGTTTGATTGGCTTTCTAATGGTTATGTATTGATTTTTGATGCACAATTGATTACATTTTATACGTTAAATTAGTAAAATGTGACAATTATAAAAGGACAACGGATAAAATGGACCGATTCTGACCTGAACGTAAGTTATATATATATATATATATAATTTTGTGTTTTCTGGGTCGCTGAATGCGATGGCAGCATTTTTATCTGTTTAAACCTGTAGCCAAAATTTGTCTTAACTCTTTTAACTATTTTTTACCTATACATTATTTATCATTGTTATAGTAATGTAAAAATGATATCTGATTTTATATCCATTTAAATCCATAAAAAAGTGATCAAAATTTACTTTAGAGACCGAAATGTCATTTATAATAGTAATTTGGTTAATAACAATTCTGGCAATATTTTCACACAGAGATAGTGTAAAGATCTCGCCACTCGAAATCACAAGAGTAAATGTTTTACTCAAACTTAGAATGGATTCTGATTCCAGCGAATGTTAAGCGAACATTTTAATCGATTAGAAAGAATTTGCAGAATTATTTCATATTCACGCTTCAATTTCGTGTGGAAATATTCACTCCACGATTCAGAGTGGTGAATTTACTCGATATAAGATGAAAGATCGCTGGAATTCGAGTGGCCCGTTGATCAGCTGACTTTTCGAATAAAATTTTACCCCAAGTAATTTAGGTAAGCGATTAGTGGTGACTATCATGGCAGCCGACGTATTAATCAATTGATTCATCATGGTATTTCTTCCTTTTGCTTACCTCCGCCGGTCGATTCTCGTCTTCACAGCAACTGGAGTCCGCGTCGCCCAAGGTGCGATCGCCGTCCCCCTGGATGTCCCCACCGCCTTCGCTCTCCTCCACTGGATTAGTGATGGAACCCTCGGCATCCCTGCTCGTTTCGACTTCTGTGCGGGCGTTATCGAGAAAAGAAGAAAGAAAAAAACCACCCTATTGTCACGTCGAACGATTAAACGTGCATTCTTTTTTCCCTTACTCTCTCTATTTCTTGCATGATTTTTCGCGAGTAGCTTATAATCGCGATTCAGAGAAACGAGTCTCTCTCTTTCTTTTTCTCTTTGCTCTATCATCCCCTTGTCGGAAGCAGCTGAAGGTTGAGTCTTTTCGCGACGCGGCTCGCGGAACTCTGAAAGATTGCTCTCTTCTCGGTATCAAGAAGCGAGAGGAACAGAGAGAGAGAGAGAGAGAGAGAGAGAGAGAGAGAAACAGAGCAAGGTCGAGGAATGGACAGCGCCACGTTGCTACCGAGAGATGGCTATTACTATCGTTATTGCCGGAGTCCGAGGGAGATCGCTGATTGCCCGACGGGAATTGCCCCGCGTGTTTCACCCCGGGGAATTGGCCGTGGCCGCTCGTTTAAGGCCGCAAGTTGAAGGCCTCCGTTCACGGGAGGAGAGAGATCCGTCTCTCTTTTCCCTTTCTCGAGGCGGACGGCGACGGCGGCGGCGGCGGCGAGGGGGAGCGAAATCGGTACGCGGAATCGAGATCGGCGGCGGCGACGACGGCATCATCGTCGTCGTCGTCGTCGTCGTGTATCCTTACCGGACTCGTCCTCCTCGGCAATTACTGTGGCGCGATGCCTCTCCAGCTGTCTGCCGAGCTCGGCGATGACGGAATGCAGCTCGGTGAGCCGCTCCTCGTGCCGCGCCGCCTGCTGTTCCGCCCGCTGCTCGGCGCGGGCCGTCTGCACCTCCGCCCTCACCAGCGCGGCCTCGGCGGCCTCTCGCGCGCGGGTTGCCGCCACCAGACGCGAATTCAGCTCGGCCACCTCGGAGCGCAGCGAGGAGAGCGCGGCCGCGTGCAACTGCAACAGAGAAATTTCGTCGTGTGGGACACTTTTATCTGAGGAGATTGATCGTGCGTTTAGAAAAGACTGTAGAAAATCTATTGTACGGTGACGCTGTATTATTGAAACTGTATTATCGACACTGAGTATTATTGAAAGAATAAAATAAAAATGTTTTCGCTCTAAGATCAGCGTCTGGCTCTCATTTGCCTGGGATTATGTCTTAATTATTTTTATCTGAGATTGCAACCAGGCTTGCGAGTAAGTAGTCACTTTCTTAATCGATTATCGTGCTTTTAATTGATATCGTGCAACGATTAATATGAATTAATTCAATTGAAGGCCGTTTAATTGACAATCGATTGCAACGAATTCAATCGAAAACCGTACAACTGATGATTGGTTTCCATGAATTCAATTAATAATCGTTGAATCGATGATTAATATGAGCGAAGATAATTAGAAGTCGTTCAGTTAATAATTGAATTTAACAAATTTAATTAAAGGCTGTTTAATTGACGATTGAATTTAGTGAGTTTAATTAAAGGATGTTTAATTGACGATTGGTATGAGCAAATTCAATAGATTTCATCAAAGACTGCTTGGTGACGATTGATATGTTCAGAAGTCACACGTCAGAAGCTTAGAAGCTTTAGAAGTCGCAAATCTAATGTCGCACGTAATAAATGGCATATTCTTCTCTATAATACACATTATGACCGGAAATATTCGATTAAATTTAATCGGATATCTTGATTTAATATAAAAATTTATTTTGGTTTTTATTGGAAACATCTGTTTATTAATTTTTATCGGATAATTATATTAGTTGAATATATGAAATGGTTTATGACAGATAAATTACACGTGATACCTGTAAACGCTTTTTTAAAACTGGACAAATTGAGTAAATTTTTTTCTTGCCTCTATTTTTAATGATTCGTTGTTTTTCGAATTTCTGGTTGCAATCTCTTTTTAGTTGTAACAATGTTATGAGTTTAGTTAACATTTCCCGCATATTTAATTAACTGTTACTGCAACATAATAAATATAATCTCTTTTATTCCAAATAACCATTCAGGGTAAATTAACTCTAAAGTAGCATTAGTTGTCACGCGTTGCGAGTCCGTCACGTGGCTATGACGTGACTTACGCAAGAGCATGGAAATATATGCAATAATACATTATGTTATACATGTCACAACAGTGAGTCCGCGTATGATTCCATAGTTCAGAGTTATTATTACAATGTTCATGAGAATTATTATCTTAGTTTAATGATTGTTTATTATACTTGATATCGCCAATTTTGATAAAATACTTAAGATCTAAAATAAGAAATAATTTGTCTTGTTTCTTTTACATGAAAGATATGTGACAATTAATCCTGAGATAGATAGATAGATAGATAGCTGGTCATATTTGCACGACTTTGCTCATAACTAAATAACTTTTTCGTGTATAAATATACATAATAATATTTTTTCTCTTTTACCTAAAAGTTGTATGATTTTGAATAAAAACGTTTACTTGAGTCAGAATGGATAATTTATTCTATATGAGCGAAGAATCACATCAGAATTCGGGTGACTCGGCGGCCACTCTGCTTTTCGAGCGAATTTTTACTCCAAGAAATTCAGAGAGCAATCATACAACTATGAAAATTCCAATATTTAATTTTACCTGTAGATAAACGTCGATATCACTTGGACGTTATATTCCAGGATTTCATTTATTTATTTATTATACAATGAATTTCCAATCTTTACTTCTAACTGCGCTTACAATTACATTCTCCTGCGGTGGACAATGATTAATAAATAATCGATTAATGATAGTTCTGCATTTTCCTTCTCGGATAATATTGGAGGTAACATTGTAACATGAATCACACATTTTAACATGGATGTGTGTGCAATTATCGTAGGAGCGAGATTTTATCGAGATGCTAATGCGACGAGCAAAAATAGCGCGCAGGAACTTTGCGCGTCGCGTGAATCAACTCGTCTCGTGTTTACCGACTTCGGTCCAGTGATGCAATCCTGCTGGATAATTCAATTCCGCGGATCGGCTATCGAGATCACGCTATTGTCTCGACGGTCGAATCGAACGGCGCAAATCGCCTACGCGATCGAAATGCGTCGCTCATTTCCTCCGTCCGTATATAATCGCGATTCTCTCTGTTTCTTTTTCTCTTATCCCCTCCCCCTCTTTCTCTCTCTTTCTCATTCACGGAATATACCACACGAATAATTATCACAGGTTAAAAAAAGGAAAGAAACGCGTCCTTCTCACGCGCAACCGTCCGTGTCGGACGTTACGAGACGATAACGATTGTCGGCCGCGTAATTACGCGGCGGGAGGAAACGAGGGAAGGATCACGAGTGTATAAGAACGACGGACGTGTGACGATACGTGACCATTCTTCATCGAGATATCGTCATCACAACGTTATTTCTGACGGACGTGCAAATAATTCCGATCTTGTGTGCAGAAAGTCAGGTAAAATTGAATCGCCCGACTAGTTGGTAAAGTTCGCAAAAGATTATTTTTTATTGAGAAATTATTTATATACACTGAGAAAAAATTTACTAAATTTCAAAAAACGTTTGTTTGGATAGTACTGTGTGAAGATATTTGTTTAAATTAAGTAATTATTTTCTAAAATTAAATAAAGTTTTAAATATAAATTTGTTTCTTTAATTTTAGAAAATAATTACTTAATTTAAATAAATATCTTCACAGTACTATTCAAACAAACGTTTTTTGAAATTTAATAAATTTTTTTCTCAGTGTGTGTGTGTATATATATATATATATAT